TAATTTTATAAGGTTCTATTTGAAGTTAAATTTAAAAAAAAATACAAACTCATGTGATGAAATTCTTTCCAGGTTCATTCATGGCTTTGATGGTGGTACCAGAAATTGTATAACTCTATCTACAGAATTTGGTGAATATAATTTATTAAAGCCAAGTGAGGCATACACACCCCTAATGGACAATTTGTATGAAAAAATTTGGCTCAGTAAAGTTGTGGTGGAATACTTAGAAGAATATCACTATCTTCAACCAACATATGAAGACTTAGTTGGCATTATATGTCAGTCAGTCATTCCTGAATTAAACGATAAAAAAATGTCCGAGGAAATGTTGCATAAACATGCACAGTTTGTATGTGACCAGGTTGTTAGTTTGGAAACCGGAGAAGATGATGAGCCATTAATCACCCTACCATGTATTAGAGAGTTAATTAAACTTATGGGTATTAAATTTGGCAAAAGAAAAATTCGGGCAAAGATTGACTACAAAAAAGTCGATAAAAAGGCCTGGACCAAGGCTACTACTACACCGCTGGTTCAAAAGACTTTTGAAAGTTTCTTTTCTAATCAGTTGGATAAAACAAACCATGAATTAGTTTTAAGAAGAAAGAGATGTGGTGTTTGTGAAGCTTGCCAGTTGCCAGATTGCGGTGAATGTAATGCTTGTCGAGCGATGGCCAAGTTCGGAGGTCATGGAAGAACTAAGAAAGCTTGCGTACGTCGACTTTGCCCCAACATGGCCGTAGAACAAGCCGAGGACTCGGAGCCAGAAGATGAAGAAGAATATCGTCAAATGGTAGAACGGAAGGAACGTGATAAAATAGATGACGCAGTGCCTGTCAAACTCACAGGCTCATGTAATAGAAAAATATCGTGGATAGGGGAACCAATTAAAGCAGATGCTACCAAAGTTTATTATGAGAAAGTAGAAATTGACGGCTCGGAGCTTTGTGTAGGTGATTTTGTGATGGTCGAAACTTCTCAGGCAAATATTCCAGCTTTAGTTACAAGGGTCACATATATGTGGAAAGAATCTATTAATCTAAAAAGTGGTTATTTCCACGGCGAAGTTTTTATAAGATCATCTGATACAGTGTTAGGTGAAGTGGGTGATCCAAGAGAAGTGTATTTAGCTGATCGTTGCTGCCACGGTGCTCCTTTGTCTTCGATTTTAAGAAAAGCTAACGTCGAAAGAAGAGAGACGGTTAAGGATTGGTTCAAACTCGGCGGTAAAAGCGTCGATGATGAATTTTTCGAAGATGACGGAAAAACATATTTTTACAACAAATACTATGAAAGGTTCACAGCACGCTTTGAAGACTTGCCGGAGGATCCGATTTGTCCTAATGAGTTAAGAAAACATAGATATTGTCCGTCTTGTGAACGAAAAACAAGAAAAGATGCAAAAGACATTCCTAAAGTGATTGGAAAGCTGATGGAAAAATCAGCGGTTGTAACAGAAAATAACAGAACTGAATGGACTTGCGTTAGATGGCAAGATTATGAATATAAGAAGGGCATGGGCGTTTTTCTTAAACCAGGCACTTTTAAACTTAAGAATAACTTTATTAACGCAAATACAAACAATAAAATTAAGTTAGATAAGGTGGACGAGGATGTTTATCCGGAGTATTATCGTAAGAGTGACAGTAATTTACGAGGTTCTAACGTCGACACTGGTGAACCATTCTGTGTGGGTCACATCGCTGCAGTGACAGCTGCCGGTGACGGTCCTCTTGTCGTCCCACAAGATATCTATATCAAAGTTAATATTTTGTATAGACCCGAAAACACATCGAATCGCTTTCCTCAGCAGGAAGATTTGAATGTCGTGTACTGGAGCGATGAAATCAAAGAAATATCCTTCTCTTCTGTAATAGGACAGTGCCATTTGGTCTACGAAAGGAATATTCCACATCAGGAAACACTCCATGAATGGCTCGAAAGGGATCCGAGTAGATTTTATTTCAGAATGGCCTATAACAAGGCTACTAAAGAAATCGAAGATGTACCACAGCACGCCGCGGCCGTCGGTAGAACTGACAAAGGCAAAGATAAGGGTAAAGGGAAAGGGAAATCTTCTAAACCTGTAGAAACAAATATCAACAAATATGAAGAAGTCAAAATAAGACCCCTAAGAACCCTGGACATTTTCGCCGGATGTGGTGGACTTTCGGAAGGTTTGCATCGATCGGGCGTCGCTGAATGTAAATGGGCTGTGGAGAACGTGGAGGCGGCTGCTCACGCTTATTCTTTAAATAATAGAAATTGTACAGTTTATAATGAGGATTGCAACGCACTATTGAAAGATGTTATGACCGGAGCTACACATAGCAAAGGCGGTCTGAGGCTGCCCATGCAAGGAGAAGTGGAACTTCTCTGCGGGGGCCCGCCCTGCCAAGGGTTCTCTGGCATGAACAGATTCAACTCTCGCGAGTACTCCAATTTCAAGAATTCTCTAGTAGCCTCGTACCTTTCCTACTGCGATTACTATCGACCCAAGTACTTCATTCTAGAAAATGTAAGAAACTTTGTAGCTTTCAAGAAAGGAATGGTTTTAAAGTTGACTCTTCGTGCATTATTGGATATGGGTTACCAGTGCACATTCGGTATACTTCAAGCGGGCAACTACGGCGTACCTCAAACTAGGCGGAGGCTTATAATCTTGGCGGCGGCACCCGGTTACAAGCTACCTATGTATCCGGAGCCGACTCATGTGTTTAGTAGACGAGCTTGTTCTTTAACGGCGACCATCGATGGCAAACGATTCGTGACGAATATGAAATGGGACGAGTCGGCGCCGCGGCGGACGTGCACCATCCGCGACGCCATGAGCGATCTGCCCAGTATAGCGAATGGCGCAAACCAAATAGAAATCGAGTACGGCTCGATGCCGGAAAGTCACTTCCAACGTTTGGTCAGAAGTAAGGATGAAAGCAAGAAACTACGTGATCATATTTGCAAGAATATGGCTCCTCTAATCCAGGCCCGGATTGCTAGAGTACCGACAACTCCGGGCTCGGACTGGAGAGATCTACCTAATATATCGGTCATGTTATCTGATGGAACAAAGTGCAAAGTAAGAATGATTTCCTTGTAGATGGCACTTAAATTGATGGGGTTTTCGAGTCTGTATGGAATTATTATGTCAACAGGTCCTGCAATACAGGTATGAGGATAAGAAGAACGGTCGTTCGTCTAGCGGTGCTCTTCGCGGCGTGTGCGCGTGCGCAAGCGGTGGCGCGTGTTCGCCGCATGACAAGCAGGAGAACACACTCATACCCTGGTGCCTGCCGCACACCGCCAACCGGCACAACAACTGGGCTGGCCTCTACGGTAAGTCATACACAATTTGGCTTCATTGCCTAGTAGTTGAAACGGCATTGCAATACCAAATGACATGACCTTGATTTAACAGCTGATTTTATATATATTCTGTCAGAATCAATCGCAATAGCAACTCCTCTCACCGGTTCAGATATCCTTGTTTAAGTATACAGTACGAGAAGAATCTTGTGGTACTTTTTAGGACGATGACAGCCTTTACTTCAGTTAAATTTATACCCATAAACGAAGTTTGCTGCATTTGCCTATTTGAGCGAGATGTTGGCAGGTCGGTTGTGTTGGGACGGGTACTTCAGCACGACGGTGACGGACCCCGAGCCGATGGGCAAGCAGGGCCGCGTGCTTCACCCGGAGCAGAGCCGTGTCGTATCAGTACGGGAATGCGCGCGCTCGCAGGGATTCCCAGATTCATATCTGTTCGCAGGCTCCGTGCAGGATAAACATCGACAGGTATTTATTATTTTTACTTTTAATATTTTGTTCAGCATGCAATTTTTTTGATATAGGTTGAGGTTTAATGGAAAATTAGAATGTGTAATATCAATAATAAATGATAGCCACAAACAATAATCATGACTGGTGCTAAAGAAATAAATATATTTTATTTCTAGATTGGCAATGCCGTTCCACCACCTCTCGGAGCTGCTGTGGGTCGTGAAATTAAGAAGGCTTTTAGTATATCAAAAATCTAATAAAATTTTGTGAATATTATGTTGATCTGACATTTTAATTATGGACCATTGTTTACTATGATATTTTAAGAGAATAAACGTATTTTTTAAACTAATTGTTTTCGTTACCCGCAAACTAATACTTGATTATTGACAAAATGTTAGTTAATTTTAATTTGGATAAAGAAATAAAAAGTAGAAAAAGTCGATAAAATTAAAAATATTTTATTTTTTCACTTTTTATTTTTGATTACATTTTTAGTTTTCTGTTTTAGACTTTTTACTAGTACACTCAATTCAGCATCTTCTTTAGACTTCTTAGGCTGGGACTGTTCTGCGGGGGATTCCGCAGGCCGTCGTTTTAACTTTTCCTGAATAAGTTTCTCCATGTTCTTCGTCTTTTTGAAGTTAGGATCACTCGGATCAATGTTGTACAAATGTGAATTGTATAATGCATTAAAACGTTGATCGTTTAGATTTATTTCAAAATCAGGTAACGATTCCTTCTGTTCCTTCATTTTCGCTTTTAATTTCTTCTTCCTCTTTGATTTCTTATCAATATTTTCTGATTCCTGTATTTTCTTTAAACTAAAATGTTGTTTACCATCATCCTCATCGTCTAATAGTAATTCCAGTTCAGCTCTTCTTTTTTCTTCTTCCTCATCATCTTCGGAGTCTTTTTCATCTTTTTGACCTTTTTTAGCTTTCATGTCTTTTTTCTTTTTAAATTCAGATTTCTCAAATTCTTCCGCAAAGTATGGATCGTTCATGTCTATGTCTGAAGGAATATCGTCAGATTCTTCTTCAACGGAATTTGTTTCGGTATTTTCTTTTTGGTTCTTTTGCAGTTTACGTTGCTTCTTCTTTTCTTTACGTTTTTGTAGAAGTTTTTCGAAAGGTGTTAAGTCTTTAGAGTCTGAAAAATGTAAAACAAACCCATTATGAAATGTTGTATAAATATTGTTATGAAATTGAAGAAAGGATTTAACCCTTAAATGGACAATGTTGTTTTTAAACAACATACTAAACATCACAGATAAAATTATCTTTATTTTATTTTTTTGTTAATTTTGACAACTAGTTCTTATTTCTAAAAAAAATAGTAAATTCATGTCTAGATTTTTTTACTCATTTTTCCTAGACAGTAATACATGTCTATTACACAAATATATTTTTTTAAAACGTAAAAAAAAAATCGTCCATTTAAGGGTTAAGAAGTGATGCAATATTTTGATTTAAAAGTTTACGAAAAACACCGAAGTAAGATTTATATTAAAATGCACATACCTTCGTTTAGCTTCTTTTGAACTAATTCCTCCGCTTTATCTTTAATACCAAGTCCCCAAGTTATTTCCATTTCCATATCTTTATTTTGCTTTTTCTCCTCTTTCTTTTCAATATCTTGTAACAGCGTTTTGTATTTTTGAATCGGGTCTTCATTATCTGAGACGTTTTCTTGTGAATCTTCTTCATTATCAGATTGATTTTCGTCTTCTGCAATTTAAAAGTGTTTTTTAATCATTAAAGGTCTCCATAGTTACCAATTACGAATTGCTAACAATATAAAATAGATTATAGATAAACGTTAATCTTACCTTCACTACTAGAAGCTAAATAATCTTTGAGATCTAAATCATCAATCTTCCCGTCGAGCGCACTTTTGATAGCCTCAGTTCGGTTGGGGTTGGTCGCGTCCCACGTCAATTGTACCTTGGCCTGTTGCAACGCAGTGGTTGTGAACAGGCGAGGCTTGTATTTGCTCAAATCTGGCAGCTTAGTGCACTCTTCTCGTGGCTCCTACAGTTGTTGTTAATAGATGAATATTTAAACATTATGTGCAAATGCACTCTGCATTGCACTTGTCCGAAAAGACAAAAACATTTTTTTAAGATCACATAATTTAAAGGTTGCTTGTGGTAAATATGTGTACTTGCTACGCTATGTGAGCCTACAGCGAGACAAGGAAAGTCCCTTTTCCAATATGTACAATAAATTGTGTTCGCAGCATCTCAGACGAAATTGCAACCGCCATAACTCTGGATGGCAATCCACACATTTTTACTAATGTACTTAACATTGCATTATTTTAATACCTGATCAAATGTGACGTCATCAGGTATAAATCTCATATCCAGCCTGGTTGCACTACTCTCATACTCCATTCCGTCACATTCACTGTACAGCTTGTCTGCGGTGGTAACTGTATCACATTCAACCACCGCATAGTAATACTTGAGTCTGTTTAGTTGATACCTTCGAAGTTTCTCCATATGATATGTTGACCCTGGAATATTTTATAAAGGGTAAAAGTGGATCCAGGCCTTTAAAATCTGTCATTTGGTGGCTAACATAAGAATGTCCAACCAGAGGAGTACTAAAAGGTAAGCACAGGTTAATATAAAATTACATAACACAATTACTTAATGGACAAATAGAAAAAAGTGTTTTTAATATCACATTCTGACACATAGTTCTGTTAAGTCTTTTGTAATATGTTCTGTTTAGGTTCAAATATATTGTAGTAATATATTTGAACCTAAACAGACAGAAATAATATTTATGGATGATCAATAGAGTAAGTAGTATAAAAACGGATTTCCAACCACATCATCACTTAACATCAGGTGGGACTGTGGTCAAGCGCTAGTTTATTCAATATATTTAAAAAATCTTACCTTCTTCATTTCCCCCATCATCTGATAATTCATCAACTTTTTCCTCTGTTAATTCAATTGGCCCTCTTACCTCTTCCTCTTTTAATCTTTGAAGCCCGTATTCAGATGGATAAATCTAAAAATTAATAAATTATAAGTAATATAATAATATCAAAGCTTCCCGAATACAATTATTTTAATTTGTCATTGTTATGAATTAGCTTAGCTTATTTGTCCTATGGCTATATTTTGGCATTGATCAAGAGATTTTAGATACTAACTAGTTGTTGTCCGAGACTCCGTCAGCGCAGGATTAAAGCCAATTCTCATACCTACAAAATATGCATATAAAAATTTGGTCAAGCCATTTCAGAGGTGTTTAGTTACTAGCATTATGACACAAGAATTATATCCATAAGAATATCTTATGTACTAGAAAACAATATGATACAATTGGAAATAATCAACTCACAGTTATCTTATGTATTATGCCTCCAGGTGGTAGAAATGAACTAAGCAACACCATTATATCAGAAGCTTTGATATTGTCCCAATCCATATTGCATATTGCTATCCTGACAACAAATAAAGTTGTAATTTTTATTATTTTTACATACATATTGCAATATAAAATAAATTGAGCTTACTTAGAGGAAATATACTGCTATCCATACATTCAGGTAAAGTCAATAAGGATTTTCAAATTGTACAGAAATAGTTCTGCAACTCCATATCTATTACATGTAAATTGCATATGGTTTAATTCCAACTGTTTTAATTCATAAAAATCCTCAGTTATTACTTTATAAGAGGCATTTCAGTACATGAAGCTAGCCCCCAACTCCATCATATGAGCTATGTATGTAATAAATAATTCCTGTATCAATCACCTTCTAGTAGATTCATCGGTGGTGTCAGCATCTGCATCCAGTTCCCCCCACTCATGTTCCAGATCACTATCCAGCTCCTCTTCGCTACTCTCCTCATCACTGGAGCTGTCAGTCAGGAGCACCCCTACAAACATTATTTCTTTATTACTATATCATCTCTTAAGGAAACATAGAGAATTTCTTCAATATACCGAATATTTCCCAATAAACATTGTAATTATTATGTCTTAAGACTTAACTCGTTGGAAAATGTTAACTTACCTTCACCACGGGCATAATCAATATCTAAATCAAGCAATCTCTTCTTGGTCTTTTTGTCCAGTTTTCCTCTAACTAATTTATCGTTAACTGATTTTTGTTCTTCATTTTTTTCCTTGTCCTCACTTGGTGCTCTTCGTACAAAACGACCTGCCGACGCAACTTCCTCTTCTTTTTGATCCAATTGTTCTTCATCTTCAGAGTCTTCTGCAGAACTTTCAGAGTCGTCGATGTCGTAGTATTTTCGTAAATTTTCAGTGGACGTTTCATTTATAGGTCGACCGCGTTTGTCTACTGTGTATTTTACTTTGAACTTATCATCTTCGAACATGGACTGAAATCTCTTGTCAATTTTAACTTTCCTCTCATGTTTAGGTATTTGCTTATATCGAGGATCATTAAGATACTTTGCAAAACGATTGTCTTTCAGTATATCACTCATGATGTTTAAGTTAAATACTTGCTAAGTCTGTATATATCTCGTGAAACTTATTGAAACTGTATGAAATAGTATTAACTTATCATTTTACACAACACTTCGAAACTATATTTAACCTAAAAACTTAAAAACAACAGTGGTCCAGTGCACTGTGCACGTTAAAATGACATTGACATTTATCGACATTTTTACATTCCCATAGAAAAAAGTTGCACTACGCAGCCATTATACAATCATGACAAATATAATTTTTTCTCATTTACTCACGAAAAACATATACATACATAAACATAGTAGGTTATGGGTTTTATCGTTAAAGTTACTTGTAAAAATTTATAAGCCGAGAGAGAATTAATTAATGTAGTAGTTTATATAAATTTTTAAGTTGGCAATTATGTCAGTGACGAACTGTCAAATGTATTCAATTCTTGGCAAGATAGATGTCATTCAGGTTATTTTTGAGGTTAATTTCGTTTTGTATTGAATACGGCTTGATAAATTTGCCATATACTCTTCGATAGAATACTAAATTATTTATTGATTTGACCTACTTAAACATGAATAGTATAGGCGAAGAGTGTACCGACTTGAAGAAAAAATATGACGACTGCTTCAATAGTTGGTTTTCAGAGAGATTTTTAAAAGGCGATCATGATGATTCTGTGTGTTCTAGTATTTTTAAGGTTTATCAAGATTGCGTAAAGGTTGTACATATTTATGTAATCAATTTCTTTTTATTTCAGTTTTATTATTTTACTCATTTATTATTTTTCTTTTGCAGAACGCTATGAAACAGCAAAATATTGACTTTAAGGAAATTGATAAAGACGTTCTGGGCACTGATAATGAATTCAAAGTACCACCAACGGAAAACAGTTGACACAAATACAGTGTTATGTGCACTTTCACCCCAATAATGAATTGCATCTTTAAAAACGGGGATATTTTTAAGTGTCAAGAGTAAACAGTGTACTAATTTAACAGAAAAAATACAAAGTAATTGTTGATGAAATGTTTATTTTGTTTTAAAGGTTGTAAAAATATGTCTTAGTTAGGCTTTGAATGTTACTACAAAAGTGTAGATTATTATTTTAAAAGGATAGTTGCTCTGCTTTTATTATTAGAATTAGTTCTGAAGCATATACATTAGTTATTTGCAATTAAACATTTAGTAGACAAAATTATAATGAATTGTTGTTTTTTACAACACTCCGGGGCTAAATCATTCCATTTTATTAATATAAAAGTGATGCACTAATATCTATGTACCATCTTTGTAATAAATGTTACTGGTTTGTTCCTGCTTTACATATGTAATAATGTACATTTGATAATTTGTAATTGTCAGCTAAAGCTTTGAAATGTGTTGTGGTAGTAAATGATTATTAGCCAATTTGCATTTTCATTGAAGAAATATTTGCAGTATAAAATAAAAATATTTTCAAAACTTCTAGTAAATGTTAGTTGTACATAAAATTTTAATTGCACTCTTGAAATACTTTGTATTCTCAGTTTATTCAGAAAGAGTTAGAATATGATATTTTATTATATTTCAACAGAATGGTTAGAAAAGGGTTGGATTTCTAAGTTTATAATATAGAACTACATATTTGAACACTATTAAACATGGAATTGGCAATTTCTATGACCTTCTAGTGTGTACTGGCAAAATGAAAAATAAAAATGATAGTACACTTTATCATATAGTACAAAATTATACACAATTTAATTATATTGAATTAATTTAATTTACTTTTTATGATACATAGGTCCTTTTTTATAACAAAATTATCGCTGGCTGGTATCTCTTGGGCGATATGCAATACCTCTACTCTTCATTTCCCTGATCACTCCAGCAGGAAGCCGACCAGACACTGATATTGCGTAAACACCAGGGCAAAACCGACCTGCATAAAAATTATTTATATAAAAACCAATAAAAACCATAGAGACTTGACCCTCATTTGAAAGTCTGATCCTTGCCATTTTAATTTATTTGGCTAGATTGTTGCACAAAATGTGTTATTGAATACTTGGAGCACAGTAATTGACTAGAGAAGTAACAAACATGTTGGTGTAATTTCTCATTTGATACTTTGACTGTGTAGTTATTACAAAAGTTAGTTTGTTATTTACTGTTGCAGTTTACATTAACGGTCAATAATACATATAAAGTTTAATGACTCTATAACTGGTAATAGGTGTTACTTACTTATTCGCTGCCACTTGCAAACCCAACTATCTTCAGGGCTCATTACTGCAATCATACTGTAAATTGAATAATATATTATTATGACACATTTCATCAATCAATGGCTAATATCTTATTTCCAATAATTGCTGTTACTAAAATATCATCTAAAAAATGAATCTGTTGAATTTTAGCAAATTAAAAAAAAATATTTTTAAGCTAATCGATGCCAATGTTTATTAAATTTAGTTGCAAAATTTTACCCGTCAAAATTATTACTAGTGCAGTCGTAAACATTATCTTTGTTGCTTTTCATTCGCAGAAATTCGTCACAGTTATCGCAGCCATAGTATTCGAACTGTTCGAAGGTCTGAAAAGATGATTTATTAATCAATAGTCTACATTTTTTACTTAATGTTAAATAATATTTTGCTGCAATTACCTTTATTAAAGAACACACTAAACAAGCCCTCAGTCCTCTTATATCTTTAGGTACCACATTAAGTGACATATTGTTGTTGTAATACAACAATCCACTGAAGTGAAAATTGCAATAAAATATTTCTTAATTTCAATTACAATTACTTTGTGTTCGCACGCATCAAAATTCTTTCGTTAGATTTTATTTAATTAGTTTCTGGTTAAACGTCAACGTCAAACGTCACCTTACCTAGTTGACATTTGCAGTTTTTTTTTGGGGATTGGTAATTAAATAAGGTCTGTTGTTTGTGAACATTATGCCAAAGTTTTATTTTCAAGTTGATCGAACATGGTAATCAGGTCTATAATTTTAAATCTTATTTTTAGATCTAAAACTTTTCTTTCAATGCACGATATTTGATAGTATTATTAAATTGAGAAAAAGGAGTATCGTTCCATTGCGTGAAACGGTGAATGATTTTCTTTCCATTTTAATATGTTTTTACATTTTTTGTGTAGATGGCGTTTAAAATAAATATAGTGTGTATGAATAATAGGTATTTTTGCGAGTGAAAATATTTACGCATCTTGCAAATTCCAGATCATAAAGGTTAGTTAGAAAGTTATATCAACTTGATATTTAAAACTATTTTTATATGAATCTATGTTGAAGCGACAGAAATTGAGTTTTATGTTTGTACGAAGAATAAGACTTTTTTTTTAAACAGTGATAAATATAATAACTTTGCTTAAAAAAAGAAGAAATTGATAATTTTTAAATGTGGGTATTTTTAAATAATAGCAGCTGTTATAAGTACCGAAGAGCGTGTTTTTAAATTTGAGGGTAGATCGATGCTAAATCTTACGAAGAGTGTGTATCGTTAACTAATTACCCATATAGATGTATAACTTTGTATACGTTTGCTATAAATGCTGCGTTCTTGTGCGCTCTAGGGCTTAACATTTTTGTCTGCGTACAGAAAAGTTTCATATATTGTTGATTTTAGATATTTCAAAATGAGTACTGTTCAGTTTACTTATGAAGTGGAAGAAAACCGACCTGTGGTCACATCTGCTGCGGTTACAGTAAGTTAAAATTATTTTCATTTTATTGTAATTAGAAGGTAGTAACTAAGAAACTGTGTATTATAAATACTTTATGATATGATGGAGTATTTTTTTTTTTCGAAGCTTGACAAAAAGTTGGTTATTTTCAATTGAAAAGTGTAAATGCCACATACTCGGTTGTAGAATATGTTTACAATAACTGATACAGCTACTATTTTAAATACATTACGGTAAATACGACGGAATAATAACTTTGTTTGATCTTCTTATGATCTCCAGTGCGTCATACGTTAATTACATATTGCTGTTAGAATTAATTATTTAAAATTGAAATACTCATTTATAAAATTTATCAAATAAAAGTTTTGTAACTCAAATATATTTTTCAGCAGAACGGCACAGCGTCTGACCAGATAGTGGATTCGACACAGAGCAGTGTTTTCTCGCCTTTAGCGCCACCTTTTGAGAGCCGGTTAAACAATTTACATCAGACACAAATGCAGTATTCTCATCCAAATGCTTCAGGTAATTTTCACCACTATATAATATTTATGGTCGTATTTTTACACTTTCTACTTTTCATTAGCGCCTGTTATTAGTTATATGTTTTTTTTATATTTAGTTTATCGTCTTTTGCCTTAATAACAGGGAGGTGATTATCTGAGGTGTATGAGTTAGTAGCCAATGTGTTCTTCCAGACTATATTCTATCGAGATCCATTCAGCTGTTCTGGAGATACTTTCAAAGAAACATCCATATCTAAACATTCGCATTTATAATATTAGTAAGATGGACATTGTAATATCTAATATTATAATTATTGTCGAAACAGCTAACAGAGAATTTGACCAGCCAATACTGAACATGCGGACTAACAATTCTGACGTGCAGTTTGATGACATCGGTTCCAGTTCTCACGGCTATACTTTGAGTAAGCCCATATAATACATTTTTGATAAGTCCTTAGTAACTAAAATATTCTTATAAGCATTAATTTTTTAAGGACGTAAAGCTGTGGCGTCCTTACAGCATTCTAGAATGCATAAATACATTATTGTTTTTAGATGGCAACCCGATGACCGGTGATGCGACTTCTGCCGCTCAAAAGAACGTTTGCGGAGATGTAACTGATGCACCTGTTGTGAGGAACGAAAACTTCGTCGGTGCTTATGACTTCTTAATTAAAAGTTCGTATTCAAATCAAAAAACATTTTTTTATTTATTTAATTTAGTTATTTTATACCAGGATCATAAGGATGCGAGCTTCTTTTGTAGTAAAGTGTTTTGAAGTGTAGCAGCCCTAATGTTTGAATTTTTAGTAGCAGTCATTTGATTTGGCACGTCGTGAACAAAATCACACTTTTGCATGATGTGCCAACTTAAGCGCTTGGTATTTTCTCCCTATTGTATCTTTGTGTTGTGTCGACAGGTATGACGTCAGCCAACCTGTACGTGTCGATGCTGAACCCGGAGCAGCTTGCGGTGCTGAGTTCGATGCGGCCGAGCGTGCTCTACGACTTCTTGCAGGAGGTCGTCAAAGCGTACGGCAACAAGCGCGTCAAGCGACTTCCTAATGTTAGTCTATTTTAAATGTATTAAGTATTTCTTGCAGTTTGTACTCTGTCGTTCTCCATAACTTTGCGTCGTATTGCGTTGCATTTGTTTTAGAGGTTAAGGTGAAATTATTGAAAAGTATTTTAGTCCTTTCAAATTTATTTTTAATTCCCAAAAGTACTGTAAAATTTTTCCACAGGAGTGTGCGTTCTGCAAGAACAACGGTGAGGAGGAAGAGTGCTACATGTCGCACCCGCTAAAGGATTTCCGCGGGCGTGTGTTGTGTCCCGTGCTGCGCGCCTTCCGTTGCCCGCGGTGTGGCGCCACCGGTGACCGTGCTCATACTATCAAATACTGCCCGGAAAATCCCGAATCTGGTATATTGTTTTCGATTTTACGCCAAACGAATTATCATTTCTAACTTTGTACTTGTGTTTATTTTGTTTTTTTTTATATTCGTAGAACGTTCTGGCGGTTTCCTATACCGTCGTCGTGTGTCTGGATCCACTTTCCTGATGAACGAGGCGGGACGTGCGGCGCAGGCAGCGCCCCCCATGCCCGCCGCCACTCCAGTCTCTCCTTCTGCCAGCAACAACAACCTACGCTCCTCTATATGGTCAAGCTTCGCCATGAACTGACTGACAACATTCTAAGACTTATTCTCGTATTTAATAACATCTTATAACTTGATATAACGGAATATTCTTCATAATGTTAGGTATTATGTTTACATTTTTCAGCAATGAAGCTCAGTACATTTATTTAGTCTGGCTTTACTTTAGTCTGACACCGGAAATTCTTGACCCTAAGTTGGTTTAGGATATTAGCGTCTGTATAAGTTGATATGTCGGAACACGAGTACTGTTAGTACTGTATATATGTAATGTTTGTGAGGTAGCGGCCAGCGAGTTCGTCTTGCTATGTGAGATAGTGTGCGCGAGATTCGCCGGGCGCAGGCGCAGGCGCACTCAGCCGGTATGCGGGACATACCGCGTCTGACATCGCACCGCCCATACCACAGATTACCTTTTACCTTTTATTATTTATCTTTTTATTCTTTAACTTTTATTGTCTATAGGAATAGATTTAAATTTTCACTTTCCAGTTGGTTTAACAAAATAAGATATTTCCAAAATTTTGGTAACGATTGTGCAGTTAAATGAAAATATTAGCGAATTTCTTTTTGATTTCATTGTTATTTGTTCGAGTTCAAATGATTTTGTATTTTGTTGTAAGACTTTGGATTCGATAAATTTTAGAGGCTTAATTTTGTGAAAATTGTTTATCTGGTTATGGTTTTTTTTACTTAAATTTCAATATTATATAGTAATTGTGTTTTATCGGCCATTGAACTGAATTAAATATATATTTATAAATCAATTTGATGTCATCGTGGACATTTTAAACTTTTGTGTAACGATTTTTATGCATTTATTATAGTGTACTCATTCATTTGGCAAATAATTTTGTTGTAATTCTGATCAATTTTTTCTAGGATTTCAAATTTTTTAACAATAATTTTGTCAATAAAAAAATGCTTATGGTTTTGGTGTTATTAATAGATTTTTTAAACTTTGTTCTTTTTGTTACGTTAATTAAACTTTGTATAAAATTTTAAGTGTTTTATTTACTTATTGGATTATTTGACCTTGACGTATACCAAGATGAGATTACGTGGGGCAATTATCAGGTTTTTGAATTTAATAAAAGAAGAGCGTAAGAACATAACACTTAATATTAACTACCGCTACCCAGCTCCGCTATAAATCTATGAATTGCTAATTACATGACTTTTTTTGATAAAAGTGTAGAGAAATGACAAGAGTACCTCCCGTCAGCTAGGCAAAAGGTAACAGTACTAAAAATTTATTTTTTTACCTAAAGGATTGGTCATCGTCGTCACCTCATATGTCCCAAGCCGGGACGGGAGCCCGAGGGGGTGGAAGTTAGGAGGTTAAGTCTTGTAGTCGCTGTCAGCGTCATTGATCCAGCGGAGAAAGTTGTGTGTAGGCAAAGATAATAAAACACATCAATTTATATAATGATTTTATTTCAAGAAACAGATTTAATATTATATTTATATATTGTAATATTCGTGTACATGAATGCAATAAGAAATACGTTTCATTCATAAATATTGATGCTAATAAAAAAATAATTTTACTAAAACTGTATTCGAAAGAATGAAATGAAAGTTATGATTACTATGATAAAAAAATATCCAAATATTAGAAAATTCAAACAATTTGTATGAAATCATTATTATTTTTAAAAAGACTTGAAGATAGCTGCAAACTTCATAAAACAATTAACTGAAATTATTAGAATTGACCATTGTTATTTGAATTAATAAATGCATAAAAACGACAATTAATACTTTTTTTTTAAAGAATTATAATTGATTGTTGAGATTGAAAAGGAAAATATTGAATCTGTTCCGTTTTTAAGTGAAAGTTAAAGAATAAAAATAGGTAATCTGTGGTGTCGGTGGTGCGATATCAGTCGCGGTATGTCCTGCATACCGGTGGCTGAATGCGCCTGCGCCTGCGCCGGACGAGCCTCGAGCACACTATTTCACATAGCAAGACGAACTCGCCAGGCACTACCCCAACTAATACTACATACTTACTAATAGTACTTATGTTCGAACTATAATAAACACGTTAACACTATACTTAGGGTCTAGAATTTTTGCTGTCAGATATAGTTAAGTTTGTTTATGGTTTGGTCCTTTCAATGTTTCCGCAGTCAGTTCAAGGTGAAGCTTGACCACAAATGTGTGTTGAAGCCTGTATCGCTGTCCGACGGAGAAGGCATGGGCGGGGTCGCGGCCGGCGCGTGGACACCATCGCTCATGAAGAATGAAGATGCGGAAGAAAGGCGCCGTTGGTACTGGTAGTCTCCTGAACGATTTATACCTGCAATTGCGTTTTATTTGAAATTTTGAAAAAAAAATTGCAAAGAAATGAAAAAGAAAAACGAACAATTGTATTACGTGTTTTTATGATGGAATCGTGCATGTGTGTATAATATATATTCACCATTTTCGGGGTTTTCAGGACAATATTTCTTGGTGTGAGCACGGTCGCCAGTGGCGCCACACCGCGGGCAACGGAAGGCGCGCAGCACGGGACACAACACACGCCCGCGGAAATCCTTTAGCGGGTGCGACATGTAGCACTCTTCGCTTTCACCATTGTTTTTGCAAAATGCGCACTCCTGTAGAAAGTAAATTCTATTAGAACCAAATAAGAATAAAACTAAATTTAACAACATGAAAGTACTGATTATAAAACTGTTTTGTGACGATATACTACCATATTTCGACGTTGGATTGATCAAACTTGCGATATTCTATTAAAACACTGTGATTTAAAAGGGGTTGCATCAGGTTTACGACAAGTAATAAACGTTTTTAGGCATAATAATAGGTATTAACGGAACTAACTGTAGGCAGTCGCTTGGTGCGTTTGCCAGTCTTAGCTTTCAGTATGCCCTGCAGAAACTCGTAGAGGACGCTCGGTCGCATTGCGCCCAACACTGCCAGTTGCTCCGGGTTCAGTAACGAGATGTACATGTGCGCTGACTTCATACCTTGTACATAAGAAAACCGTTAAATTGAAAATCCGTAGTATTATAAAGCTTCAAGAACTGGCGATATGTTTTGCAATCTCGGTCTTTGAAAAGAAAACTCCGTCCCTTCACCTCCAAGAGGCCTCCCATTGTTGTAATGGTACTTACGAATTACAGCTAAACTTTAGACAATGTTACGTAATAAACTTTAACAAAACATACGAACTTTTAAGCAAGAAATCGTAGGCGTCGAAAATGTTTTCGTTCTTAGCGGTGGTGTCTCCAGTGGGGACGCCTTCACCGCACACATTCTGCGCACGCGAACTTGCATCCCCGTTGTCATCTAAATTTATAAAATAATAATTTTAGTGTATATTCAATAAAGTTTTTATTCAATTTATAACGTGTAAATATTTAAAAAGAATTTTACTTACTAATCGAATAGTTTTGAGACCTGGAACCTATGTCTTCGAAGAGTGCGTCTGAATGGTTTGTCCTGAGATTCATCATTGGTTGTGAAAAATTCCGTGGTCCTACCAAAGATTAGTTAAATTACATTGCCGTGATTTGGGATTACTACGTATTGCTTTCTCTTATTTTGTCAAAAGGATGAGAGGGATGACAATATGTTTTACACGACGATATGTTATTGCTGTATTTCGACGGTGGAAATCCACATTTATATACTTGCATGTAAATAAAAACAGTAAAAATAATGTTATTTTACCTGTCAAAGTGGAATGATGAACAGAATTCTGTCGTAGATTGTTCAAACGACTCTCAAACGGTGGTGCCAAAGGCGAGAACATGCTGTTCTGGATAGCATCCCCTTCGTCTGACCCTAGCAGATTTTGCTGAAAAATAAATATTTATCTAAATTACTTTGTCAATTAAATATTTTGCTTTTCTCTCTCTAGTATAGAATGTTTTCTACAATGACGGCCATATTGGATGACATACTAATCATTAGCGTGTATGCGCTTGTAGGTATGTCTTATTTGTGATGAATGTTTAAAACTATTGATAATTCTGTTCAGTTTTTAATTTAATTTTTTACAATCATATGTCAACACGAACCGCTTACAAAAGTCTCCGAGTTTATACTTAGTCACATGTTGAAATGTTTCTTTGTCTAATTCCTAAAAATAGTTAATAAGAAAATAAAAACTTACATTCATCGTAGTTGATGTGACCGTTGAATTCTTATCCATTTCACAAATTAAATGTGTATTAACTGCACTCATAATTATAAACAAAATAATAATAAAACAACCTTGTAATTTATATGTCAGCTAATAGTTCGCAAATGATCTACGTCGTTTGGCAACACACTATTTATACCAGTTCCGTACATCCTTATACGTCTATACAAGTAATTAAGTAATGACATTTGTATCGTGTTATTTTAAATTCTACCCTTTTTTTTTCTTCAGAGGGGAATGCTTTATGCATACTCCGCGGGACCATGGGCACGCTTTCGCTCTCGTCCGCGGCCCAAAATTCTACCCTCAAATTTTAACAAAATAGACAATACGATTAATCGCTTTTCAATTTTAACGTTCTTCAATTGTATTCGAGCCGCGAAGTCAATGATTTAATTAATAAATACAAAATATAAAAATATATTAAATTAAACAAAGAATCTAACGAATAGTCTTAAATCTATGATATAAAATAAATTATTAAAAAACGAATAATTTACTAAAATATATTATTAAAAGGAGTCCCTTTAGGCAAGGTCCCGAAGATACTGGCAGCGTTCCCCCTTTGGACCGCTAAACTAATTCTTTGACCGAGGTAGCTGCCAGCTCTTCGCTCCCCTGTGATGTCGATTAATTTAAATTAAATTATAAAAATAATTTGATTTCATATATTTAATTTACAAATAATACGTTTGAATTTGTACTTACGGAACAACTTAGGTTGTACTTTTAGATTGTAAGTTAACATATCTCTTTAGTCATTTTTAAGAAAATTTATCTTTTGTTGAAATAGAAAGGTTACTTAAATAGGTAACCAATAAATATTTTCATCATATTTTTAGAGCCTTTTTCCTACGAATGAGTTTTTAACTAAATTTTTAACTATTTTATCGGTTTTGTCATTAAAGATAACGTCGGCATCAAAATATAGCTTTTGATCTCTCTTTGACTGATGATGGAATTGTTAAAAGTTTAAATAAGAGCTCATAAGAATGTATATCCTGTTATTTTTATGCTTCTTTCTCTCTAATTGAATTTAAAATTACTGGCAACTGCAACAAATTACTGTATCAGAGAGGTTTTATTAGACAGCTGAAAATGAATAAAACACAATTGTTTTTTTTACCTATTTATTAAGACAAATACCAGATCGTAATTTTAAAACTTTATTATGACGCAATGATAACTAAAACTAGCCGCTTATAATTAAAAATCTTCATAAATAAAATAAAATAAAATTGACTGAAATGCATATTTTTCAATTAAGAAAAATAAAAGAATAAAACACATTGATTACAATCTAATAAGTACTTTTAAGTTTATGTCCTTATCTATTGTACGTAATAAATATGTACATAATATTACGTAATTAAGGAAAAATATATCAAACTAAGGCGGAAATATAGTACCTACGAATAAAAATTGGGCGTTTAGCGAAAACCTTTGCCTATTTGTAAGTCCAAAAAAAAATTAAGGCGGAAAAAGGCCCGATATAATCTTTATTAAGATTTAATTTGAAAAATGTTCAAAGCAAATGAAAACAGTATTTAAGCACAATCAACGATGTTTAGTTTAAAAGCAAAAACAAAGAATTTTATCTGATATTTAATTTGTTGCATGTTAAAGATATTTGAAGTTAAACTAAATTGCAAGACTTTATTGTCATACTCATTACATATTATTCTTTTTGAACTGTCAAAAATACTCTATTAGTAGAAGAATTATCCAGTAATAATAGTCAATATTTGAACAATATTACTGCTTTGAAATCCACAAATATATCATTTCATTTATATCTCGGTACTTTAGTACGTTTGCTAGATAGTTTAAAAAAGCTTCACATCCAGCAGCTTAAAAAAAATAATGCAACACGCGAGGTCTGGTTACGACTATCCTTACCCACAATAATACAAGTGGTAACATTATATTGTTTTTTATGCATACCGCTCAATTCTGCCACCCCAAACATATAAATTAATAACTTGATTTGAATAGTACTTATAATTTCATAATAAGTTGCCTCTGATGGTAATAATAAGTTAGAGACTAGAAGACTATGACTTCACTTGTATACAATAAGACACTAGCCAACGGTCGATTAATAGTAGGCCCTCTACAATTCGGAAGTCTATGGTCAGAGTACGCATCGCTATTTCAGCCAATACAGGTGGCCACTCGCTCTTTTGCCACCGCAATTATTAAAAAAAACACAGTGAGTCTTATACCGTGACAGGATTAAAGTGGCAGAATCGATGGCGTGATTTTATCGTTAGTGTACGGTGATCGCCCTGTCCGTGTGTTCTGTGCGCGCTAGCTCTCCGTCTTATCTTCGTTATGGTTCGTCGGCCGGCAGCGGTGGATGAAAGCGTTCAAGTTCTCGTCGTCTTCATCAAACTGACACTCCGTGCCGACTTTACAGTTGCAACTGGAAAACAATTTATATTCAATTCAACGTTGTTTAACTTGGTTGCAATGCTGAGATAAACCTTTAATTTTGTTTTTTTCAATAAATAAACTAGTGTATTATACGGATCGTATTTCCTTTATAAAACAACCCTTCTTTGCACAACACAAAGTGAAAACACATTTCCAATACATCTAAACGAGTATCAGAAACTGCTTGAGGCTTGCTTGGTCTCTTTCCATTAAAATAGTTGCTTTTATTCCTAAAGAGCATTCTAAAATCCAACTAGGAAAATGAAATCAAATAAATACACCCAGTAAATTATGAATGAATTACCCATCAAAGTAGTTTGAACGTTATGTAGGTCGCGATGTCAGGGGCTCATTATATCTTGGAAGATGATAACGACGATTGGTCAAGAGAAATATTTACGCATTACTATAGTACCCGCTGCGTGGTGTTTACATCGCTTTGAACCTTTCTTTATACACAAACATTTTATCAATGCAACTATATTACTTATAACAAAGCAATTACGCTCGTAATTATCTAGAATGGTCAGAGATCACAGATTCATATTTACGCTGCTTTATGTACATACAAAGAGAATCGATATTAGCAACAACTAATTGCTTAGCTTAAGAGAGGAAAGGGTCCGTAGAACAGTTATGATCTACTAGTTGTCCCCCGACTCCATTCACGCGGAATTTAAAAAAAACTTAATTAGTAGCTTTTATATTCTTCCAGACTATGCCCCATATCTACACGAAATTTCATGGAGATCTGTTAAGCCGATCCATCCATCCATCTATTTAAACAATCGATTTTATAATATTAGTAAGAAGTAAGATTATTTGCAACACTTACTACGAGTTAACAATATTGGTGTCGATGATCTTCTGCCTGTTGACGTAGATGGACCAGGCGCAGGGCGTCTCCGGCTTGCAGATCTGCAGCGTGGCGGAGGTGGCGTCCTCACTGGCGGCAGTGGAAGCGGAACTCTCCATCGTCTGCCGCAGTTCCTCTTCCAAATTCACTGCCCGCTGTGAAATAAATATTCATTTTATGTTCACGCATTTCATACCTCTACATACAGCTATTCGTCTCTTTTCTTGCTGGAAATTTTTATAACTTAATTGCGTACATTGTACTACTCTTACTGATCATATTTTCATATCAATCGCACTATGAAAATATGAAACAAGATACTATAATTAATGATTTGAATGTACGTATCACCCCAGGGGTTCGGATGAAGTGACCCGTTACTACTGATATGAAATAGTAATTTTATCTTGTATTCAATACAAAATTGAGCCTTAATTCGCGTACGACGGAGATTTTTACATCATTTGTAAGCAGTTTAAGATAAATTATATGTTAAAGGACAAGTAGGCTGTGATATCTATACTCAGAGTTCAAGCGTCATTACGACAATACGTTGCAATTAGCTATTGTTTCACTATTATAATTTTATTTGAACAATATAACGTTGTACGACAAATTATTACAAAGTTCTTATCGACAATTAAAATATGAAGTAATCATTGTTCATGATAGTAAATTACGCAACATTATAAAAGAGCTTTCATGTGTATTTTAAACTAATCGGATTAACTAAATCGAAGTATTCGCTTTTCACCACAATTATCGAATTTGAATTAAGTTTTGCGTCGCAGCATATAAAGTAAATTTTAAGTAGTAGAGTGCCACTGCCTTTTAAGAATTCGTGAAATTATATGCAAATTAATATATCTCAATCACAATTGGAAAGTAAATAATTTCTTTGGAAACAGAATAATTAAACTATTTTTTTATCACGTTAGGGTTATACGTAGATGTGCGATCTCTTCCATGTTTGTGCTACGAATGTCTTAACATCTTTGGTTCAGAATGAGTGGTGTGAAACAAGTCACTGAATTATATTTTTTTTTAGTCCGATGATCAAGAGTGGATGCACATTTTTCGTCCTCTGCCAAAGAATGAAGGGTTGATATGCCACTGATCTTTGTATTTTTCCAATGCAACGTTAAGTGAGCATAGATGGTGCTTAGCTTAGGTTTTTATGTTTTCGCCGTTAATTTCGTCAACTAAAAGTTGACAGCCCTAGGTATAAGTGACAGTTATCCCCTCCCCTCCACGACGGCTAGGAATTCGATAGTAATGAGTGTCGTACGACATACCGCGCGCCCTTGATTGTGTCCGGCGTCCGGTCTCGCCTCACGCCTTACGTAGCCGCCCATTCTGAACGTATGTCACCGTAAACCTGTAAACATCGTTAGTTTATAATCCCACTAGCGATATTATAAACTGACAGTATGTTGTAAAGTATATTTGACAAACTTATAATTTCAATTTTTTTTTTCTAGTACATTAAATTTTAACGACATCCAATTGTCTAATTGTGATGTAAAGACCGGAGTTAGTTAATTTAAACTAATCATTTAGGTATAAAAATTATCGTTAAAAGATATAATTTATTATTTACTTAATAAAAGTATATGTTATGCTACGTTTGACAATAGTCAAACTAATAGGTTTGTTTTATAACAAAACTGTTTAGGTCAGTTTACTATTTTCCGTCAGATTACAATATCTTTAGTGAGATCATATAAAGGATGTTTACAATGGTGACATAGGTATCGCGAAATGATGCACATCACGCGGCAGCCGGCAGTAAACAGGAAGCAACGCACCTTCCACGAACACCGGGTCGTTGACCAACATGTTTTTCTCTCACTAAAATACATTGTTGTGAAAAACATCTAGCCGAGTCCGAGTCAGGGCCACGGGCGTGACTCACACATACACTGGACTGGGATTTAAAGGATCGTTAAATGCATACGATCGTTGGAAACAGAAACAAATACTTCGCATTGTATCTAAAACAGAGGGAATGTTCATAACCAAAACACTAATTACTAGGTTGAATTCGACTACAGTTGTTATATTCGAATAAAAGATTTTTCTTTTTGATTAATAGTACTGATAGAACTTTTAATTAAGATATGTACATGGGCATCTTATCTACATTAACAGCGTTAACTATGTATTTCTTGTACCTCTACCAGTACCCTTACTTTCCTTTAAAATGAGTACAAAGTGTTGGGTTCACATATTAATATAATATAATTATTTCATCTATCTATTAAAATACAATTAGTAATGAAAATAGATTTAACAACAAGAACTTTTCTATTCTTACAAATTACAAAATTAGGTTTTGTGTGAGAACGCAGTATGTTGAGAAACAGATTTGGGGCGCACACCGGTGCGCGCGCTTTCCTCAAACCGTAGTAGTAGGCAGTTTGATTCTTAAAATACTTAATGTAAGGATGTTCCCTTAAACCTTATGAAAGTCAAGTCGTAAGTTTTAATAAATCTTTTATCCCCTACTACCTGCTTTAAACTGCCAGGCCTAACTGACGCGTTTTGAATTTCTGTCGAGTTATTCACGAATACAATAGTTTCGATTTGTTTGATTCTTCAAGAGTTTTCTAGCAATTTCTATGCGTGTAACGCTACTGTAGATAATTTTCTTTGATATCTAGCAATTCGATTTATTTTGTAACGTGTGGCGGTGTCCTAAGTTATTGAATCATTTTCCATGTGTTTAAATATAAGTTGTGCATCTCTTTATTGAACTTTTTTGATTTTTAAACTGGTGGCGGTTTAATAACCTCATTAGTATGTAATTTTTTTAAATGCATTTATTTTGAATATCGCTTTTTGAAGTTACTTTGGAGTTTAACTTTAAATAACAACAGAACTATCGCTTAGGCAACACTTATTTAAATAACGAAGCGATGGAAGTAAATGTAGAAAGAAAAATGTTTCAAGTTACATATCGAACTTATTTATGTTATCGATGTTCTTTACTTTGATGTTAAATTAGAATTTGATTCAATACACCTTCATTATAAAGTCTACTTAATGAGAGCAGTAAGTTACTTTAAGTTTTATTAAAAAATGTTCCGTTTTTATTAATAATTGTAATACAACGCAGAATAGCATATATAAACATTTAAAAATATGTTTATATCGACATGTGTAACAAAATATTTACAAATAAAAAAATGTGAGGGCGAAATCACACTGATGATGATGATGAGGTGATAAAAATTGAAATATATTACTATGACATAAGTTGATCAACTTCTGCGAGATCTAATTAGAATCATACTGTATATTTTTGTTAGCAGGACGTAACTTTCCCAATACGCACACACTGAACAAATTTTCGGGAAATTTTCCAACAAAACAACGTTCCAATGTTACTAATTGCTAACCTGCGTACTCTTCTGTTGTTTTATATATTATTTTTAAATAATTTTTACGTACTTAACGTAAAATTGCCTTGGATTACTTCGGACAATTTCTTCACAAACTTTACATATTTTTTATGTGTACATCGCAAATTTTTTATGAATTACAAATAGTTACACAGATTATAAACCTTTAATATTAAAAGAAAAGTATTTACAATCAAAGCATAAAAAGCAATGTATTTAAAAATGTAGATAAACTTGTGTGTTTCTGGATCCTTACTTGATAAACTTTAAATTTTTCGTAATTTAGACGATCTAAAAAAAAATAACTCACCCTTAATTTGGGCACCATAGCCACGGTGAATGTGACAGCGGCCAACAAAATAATTAATTGTCGTTTCATATTTGAAGATGTGCGCGAATACTGGGGTTCAAGTTGCAAAAAAATAAGTCGTAACGCGCGTTCGCTTCAACGTTCGACGGAGCGGTAATGAGTGACAACGCAGCGGCTCTGCGCGGTTATATGTAGCACAGACTATACCTACTCAGCTTCCCCGCCTTCCCCGCGCCGAACACGTGAATCTATACAAAGTACCAACACTGACACCGGCCCTAACCGAAACTACGACGTACTACGTTTATCAAAAAGATTTGGTCGGTTTACATGAATGAATGCGTAAGACTACAAAATTGATGATCGCTAACGATCAGTGCGAGAATGTTGTTTTTGTTATTATTATAGGCGATACGATACGCGCCGGAGTCGTAACTCAATGTAAACTATTTACGATAACTTACTGCATTAATATATTCAATAACAAAACGTATATCATCAATGTATATTGTTATCGTAGTTTTTTTTCTTGAATTGTAAATTTCTCTACGTATATCTGTACGATACAGGTTTATCAAAAAGAAATAATAAAGTTCAATAACACCTACGTATGATAATAATGAATATTAAGTTAAATTAATATGTAAAAATAATAAATTATCGTAAAAGAAATATTTGAGATCTTTGGTAAAAACGGATGAAGAATGCGAATTCAGTTTTCTCAGTACAAAAAAGGTGCCACTCGAAGGCTGTCGAATCTTTTTAGAGTAACAGATATTTACTAAATATTTAAGTTGTCGATACAACTTAAATATTTCGTATTTTTCTTTGTAATACCGATTTATTACAAAGAAAAAAGCTTTAGTTATTTGTAACATGTTAAATCGTAAATTGCTTAACAAATTCCAATTATTCACACATTAATATAAAACTACACTATATCCAGAAGCCTGGATAAAAAAATTCAATACTATAGGTTTATTCTGCAAATTAAAGCTTCAAACTTGAACATTTTTCACGTGCGATATACAAATTTATGCAAACAGAATGGGGCGCGAAGCATCTATCTACAAATATAAAAATGTATTATATAATTATAATGTATATAACATTAGAATAGATTAAGATTAATAATAGATGCAAACGTAGCGTCGCGTCATGAGAATGTACGGGGTGAGACACACCCGTCGTCGGCACGTCCCCGTCACGTCACGCCGAGCCTTACGAAGCGCGCTCGGGAGTTGCATCATCCTTTTATGCCGACCGAGTAATAAAACAGACACTTTTATGCCAACCCTCTTTCCATTTTCATTTCAGTCTGCACCGCAATTTATAAAACTATGTTACTTTTTAAATTAAAATTCCTACCTCAAATGCTTTTCTATTCTATAGTTAAATACAGTTTTATTTTTCTTCTAGAAATTACGTTTTCCAAGTATACCGAATGAAAGAATAAGTTTTATTTAACTATATTCAGTCCTATATTTTTCTTCTTGCATGATCAGTCCTTAAATATAGTATAAAGTATATAGTCTTCCCGCCCTTTTTCTTATAAAGAATGGATGGGAAGTGGAAGTGGACTTACCGGATAAGAGGATGCATGGAAAGGGCAAATATTTTATTTCTGTGCATCTCCTCCTCCGTCGATTAAAAGTAGGCAACGCATATGCAATTGCGTATGTGCAACGGTAACGTCACAATTTCAGCGATTTCAGGTGGCTGCTCGCTCGTTTGCCACCTAATGATATATAAAAAAAAGTTATTAATTAGTTGCGATTACAAATTTTTCTTTTTCCAAAAAAATAAAAGCCAGAACATTATAACAGTAAGATTGTATGATATGCCGACCCTCTGTAGGGACAAGATTGACGATGTTGATGGTAAGGTTCATTTTGGTTTCCTTATTATAGACTTATTTTTGTCACATTTTATTTGATAGTATAACCCGTACTCAATAACTAGTGAGGTGTTTGATGGCGTTCTAAAGATACACAACTAACATGTGACGTGGTTGTTGCGTCATCTTCATAGGTCATCCATCTTTTCTTAGATCTCGTACAATCGAGTCACTTCCAGTTCCCTTGGCGGAAGAACAAATTATATTAAGTATCCTATCAGCAACGTGAGAAAGAGTCATCCAATTCTGCTACAGTCCTGATTTTCAAATATAATGACAAGGGAATGTTACGAACACGTATATATCTTACTTCTTACTTATATTATAAATGGGACTGTTTGGATGGATGTTTGTAAGAAGGTATCTCCAGAACGGTTGCATGGATCTGGCGAATATTTAGCGTCTATGTAGATAATAATCTGTAAGAGCACATAGCCTACTAATTAAGTTCTTTTGCGCGGACGGACTCGCGGGCGACAGCTAGTCACTTGTAATATTAACATGTAAAATTAAAAGCTATTAAACTGTACTATATCTTGACAATTATTAATTCAGTAGATATTGTTATATCACGCATCCGAACGAACTTTAACTACGCATTAGTTAAAAGGTCTATGATCTATGCTAGGAAATTTTTAAACACGTTTACTACACTATCAGCATGAATCACAAGGTTTCGACACCATTTCTGTGAACCCAGCGATAAGCATTCGGCTCTCATTAAGATAAATTCATTCAAAGAAATTGACCTGCACTTTTATTGTACTAACAAAACTTCCGCTGCGTTTAAGACTAATTAAATATGTATACTATTCCTTTCCTCATTGCCTTCAACTTGTAACATAAAGGAAGAAAAAGAATGGAAAACGATATGCCTCTTCAAAATATGCACGTAAATTCTTGTTGACTTAACACTTGGTCGTTCAGAAGTATATCAATCAATACTAGTGATTACTGACTTTTTCCAAGTCATCATCATCAGCTCACTATACGTCCCCCCCGAGGGGCTCGGAGCCTACCCTAAGTTAAGGGTGATTAGGCCATAGTCAACCACGCTGGCCAAGTGCGGGTTGGTTGATTTCACACATATCTTTGAATTTCTTCTAAAATGTGCAGGTTGCATCACGATGTTTTCCTTTACCGTAAGAACGTCGGATAAATGTAGATATGTAAATCGGATATCGAAAAACACATTGGTACATGGCGGGATTCGAACCCAAGACCTGCAGATTGCAAGTCAAGTGCTTGACCACTGAGCCACCGACGCTCTTATCAAGTCATGTACTCGTTAAATCTTAACCGATTATTAAGTCTTCTCCTATATTCAATATTTCAGTAAATTCAGTCTGTTTTGAACGATTTTGAATATTCTTTAATAAAGAAAATGCTTTTCAGTCAGCAGAATATGACAGACTTCTACAGATTAGGTATATAAATAGCTCCTGCGAATTTTAGTTATTCAAAACATGTTGTTTAATGATATGACCCTTATTAATCAAAATAAAGTCATGTTTTTAATATATGTATTTGTACTGTGATTGATAACGTTCCAGTGTTGTATCGATTGTTAATTCTACGGCGTAATAAAACGATGTAACGTAATATATTTTATTTAAACTAATACGCCAAAAGTCCAATGTATATGTGTGTAGCATATGTAAACAGATCCGGGCTAGCAAAACATATTTAACGTTGTTAGAAAACAAAAATACTTCTTAAACAATATACAGACGACCTTTTAACCTAGAGGTTAGTTAACAAGCTATTACGTCTCGGGTTATGGAATCGAATTCAAATAAAGATATCCAAGATGTTTATCCAACTGGAGGAAAATATTTATAAAATGACCTTTAGATTTTAAAGGTTTAAGCTGTCAATCGCTTCATAAATAAAGTTTTAAAAATAACCTTTTTCGATAAATCTAATGAGCTTTTTAGAATAGTTAACATTTTGTCTTAGGGACAGTCCACTTGCAAAGAAAAGATTTTCTATCGGCTAATACATTGTTGACACAGTTTTTATAGATAAAGTCGTCTCTTGCGATGGATTAAGGATAAGCAAACGGCGAAATAAAGACGTCTGAGACGAGACCTTGATACAGTCACTGCCATGGAAAATGCAGCCGGAGGGAGGTCTATTCCGGGAATAGCGCGGCCGCCAGCGGGCTTAATGGAGTGCATTGAAGTGCATAACGCAACCGTACACATTATTACAACAACTCTATAAATATCAAAGTCACTAGAAACGTCCTAAAGGAGAGCAAGCAGGCGCGGGGGGACAAGGTATGTTGTTGACGCACGTACTAAATCGTATGTACTCACCTCCGGACGGTTCCGAGTATCGGACGACGCAATATTTCGAAATAGTCTAATCAGCGAACAATATTACTTAAATTTCTAAGAAAACCATCGTTAAATTACGCGCAATACGAATGCTTACATCGTATTTTCACCGAATACAGTGAGGTGAATGTTATATTAACATGAACGATATCATAATAAATATTGCATTTGAGTACAATCACCCAAATTCTATGTTATCATCATCATTGAGTAGTTTGGAAGATTGTGTTATAATTACTGCTTTCAGATTTATAAACAACTAGTTGTTTACCACGACTTCGTCGCCGTAGAGGTGAAAAGTTTAAAACAAACTTTAGCCCTGAGTGTAGACATTTAAAACAAGAATTTTAAAATGCCTGAAACACGTACTTAATTATTTATTCTCATGTCATAATCTTATGTTAATTGCCAAATAATTCTGTTGAAAGAATAAAATTATTTATACAAAATTTAAGACCCCACTTTAGACCTTTAGGGGAAGAATTTCGTCAAAGCCTTTTAAAGTGCTCACAAAAATTTTAAGGTTCTAGATTTCATGTCTACGTTGTAAATATATGTCTAGATTTCAACTTCAATCCACATTTTTTTAATATTTACGGGATGAATTTAAAGAGGCCTGAATGACGTAAGAATAATGATGCATCATACAAATTTTGAACTCCCATTTTGACGTTTCAGGGATGAACTTCATAAATTCATTACTAAATACTCGCCTATTTAGTAACAGAAATATATTGTGTGTGCATCATTTAAAGTCCTTAGGCCTTATAGTTTCGACTTTGCGTTGGTATAGATATATGTCAGTCATTAATTTTTTAGCTTACCTTTTAAAATATACTTTATCTCAATAGAAGACAGATTGTCCACATTATCATTGAATCATCTAGTTCTTCAGTACTAAGCTTCAGCTGAGCGTCGGTGGCTCAGTGGTCAAGCACTTGACTTGCAATCTGCAGGTCCTGGGTTCGAATCCCGCCATGTACCAATGTGTTTTTCCATTTCCGATTTACATATGTACATTTATCCGACGTTCTTACGGTGAAGGAAAACATCGTGATGCAA